TATATATATATATTGTTAGTTGTCCAGGTCATTTCTTTCTATTTTTTAGTAGAGACGGGGTCTCGCTCTTGCTCAGGCTGGTCCATGCTTCTTTTAAAGGAAGTTATTCGGTCCTCAATAATCATTAGCTTGTAATAAATACAGGTCCTGTACTGTCAGATCTGATTTTTTAAGACAAAGTGACTATCTGAATTTTTAGGTAAAATCAGATTTTTAAATGTCAGCAATAAATTTAAGAACATATGTGCAGATCAGCCATGCCCTGTAGGCTGCAGTTTATAACCTCTGAGAGTGGGGGAGTTCTGGCAAGGCTCCCTCTCCCCAAACAGTTTCACCCATGACACTGACTGAATTCTTTTTGATCACAGTGGATTAGATAGTCTCTCCACTCCCTTTTCCATTAAGACTTCCTGGTAAAATGCAAAACTAATCAGTCACTAATACCTTAGCTGAAATTGAATTAAGTCTTTGTAAACCTAAAGCTGTAAGAAGACTCAAAGGAGGTTTTCTCTGGATAGCATCTGGTTATAGACGGCCATTCTGCCACTGTTCACATAATTCTATGGGTGGAGAGCTCAGATCAGACACTCCATTGCTGGAAAGTTTTAGTTATAAAAGTTGCATGTGTTAAGCCAAAATCTCCCTCCCTGAATTCCTTCCTAACCTCTCCATGGTGGTCTCTTGAAGCTATACATAATAAGCCTTCTAATTCCTTTCTGCATGGGAATCTTCCAAATTTCTGCAGATGCTCTTGTGAGTATCTCGATTCTTTGTCTCAGTCCCTGTGGTTACTTCAGTCTTTCCTCATTCCACAAGAATCTCATTAGTGCTCTCACTGCACTTTGGGAAGACCTCTGCTATAGTGCTTACTGCATGGTTTCATAATTTATTTGAACATATGGCTATCTCCCAGAGCAGGCTGTGAGTTTCATGAGAGGTTGGGAGCAAGCCCTGTGCATTTTTGTACTCATGTCTTTGCACATTGCTTGGTACATAGGAGACACTAAGAATTGATGAAAAGAAAGAAGAAAGGTAGGAAAGAAGAAAGAAAAAGGGAAAGAAGGGGGAAAAAAGCAAGCAAGGAAGGAAGAGAAAGAAAGAAAGAAAGAAAGAAAGAAAGAAAGAATCTGTTACTATAGTTCCCGGATCCATTAGTTTTTCTCCTATGGACATGCCTTTGTCAATGTCATTCTGAAAATGTGGGACAGGAAACTATGGTCTGACATGGAATAGTAGAATTATTAGCTCTTTTGTCTGAGACATTGGATAGCTATTAATGCATCCTAAGATTGTATCACCATTTTTTTTGTTGGAGGCATTCTCATTGGCTGCCAAGACAGCTATGATTGTCCTCCCCCTGCCTCCTGCTTGAGCTGCATGAACTGTCAGGTGTCCCTAGACCTGATTGTATGTGAAACTGGCTATTTGCACCCAAGTTCAATACTTTATATTAGTTCCATTAAATTTCACCTTGTTATGTGCAGCCCAGCATGCAAAGGCCTGTGCTGGGTTTTGGTATTGTTGTCCACCTAGTGCGTTATATCTCGCTGTCTTGCTCAGAGCTGTTTGCTGTCAGAACCATGCCTGGTGTTGAGTTGGTGGTGAAAGCCAGCTGAGATCACTGTCTTAGGGGAACACAATCATGCATAGAGTATTTTGGGCAGCACAGGCCCGGGTGGGGCTCCATAGCAGGGGCTGTTCTGGGGGCCAAGGAAGGGAAGAAATTCACAGAATGAGGGGAGGGGGCTGAGAGGAAAAGTTTTTGACAAAAGCAAGTTCTACTTTCTTCACAGATCTGTCTAGGGCCTGGTCCCACCATTATACTTTAGAAATGTGAACAATCGGTCATCTCCTTGATTACTGTCTCCCTCAATCATATTGAGTTAATTGATCATTTTGTAGATACTCTGAACTCGTCAATGTCCTCCTCAATTTTCTTTCAGTGGAGAAACATACAGACATGCTTTTCTCATCTAGATATGATGGTATCAGCATCATGATTCTAATATTGTCTTCTAATCCTTATTAAAATGATGCTAATGATAATAATGCATCTTGTTTTGTAAAACAGTTTATACTCTTCAAAGCACTTTCACATAAATCCTTGGAAAATCCGTGGATCCTTGAAGTAGCCCAATGAAAATCACGGAGGGGCTATGCCTAGCTCTACCTGACAGGCATTTGCAGTGTGGACGATGAAACGGGTTTCCACGCTTCGTGAAAGCCATGCTTACCCCAGAGAATTGTCAACAATAGACCTTCCAGGAAATCCATGGAAGAATTTTTGATGTAAGTCTATCTTGCTGGAAGTTTCATTTTCTTCTTAATAATGTTATTCTGTGATCAGCATGTTATAACTCTTATGACTCTAATTCAAGAGACGTGGCTGTTTGCCTTTTTCAAAACTTAGGGCTAGCTTCCATCATTGCATCTTGTGTTAATTTTTTCTTTATAAGAAATAAAGAAAAAAGAATTGGACGGTTTGCTCTGATACAGAAAACTATTGTTCATTTATAAAATATGTAATATTGTACATAAGTCAGAGAGTTTAAGAATATCTAAAAAAGATCCCTTAGATTGGATTTATCAGATTTGTCTATCTCTACCAGAGAAACAGCCTTTGGAATAGTTTATCAATTGGATTACTTTAATTTGTTTAAATTTATTAATACATTTTTGTCTTCTTGTATTTTCCTTAGCTTTTAAAATGTATATTTTACTTAATTCTTTATTTTTTCTTTTCATTTAATAAGAAACATTTTAAAATCTATGATAGGATCAGATCTTGGGGACCCTGGTATTTCTGGGCCATATTCATTTAGTTTACATACGTGGTGTTTCAATTGTCTTGAACACCTTAATGGTATATAAGGGAGACTGTGGTTTACTTTTTCAGTCTATAATTATTTAGGAAGGCATTTTGCTATAGTCCAAGGGTTGAGATTTATATTTTTATTTTTGCTTTGTTCCATCTTTGGCTATTAATTTCTAATTTTGCTTCATTTTAATTAGACAATTCAAAGGTATGATTTTAACTTGTTATGGTTAGGTGAAAGGAGTTAATAAAGGTTGGATAGGCCAAAATCAGTGACATTGTTTTTTGAAGGCATACGTGTATAAAGACATTCAGTCAACATTTACTGACCACCTATTAAGGGCCGGATATTCTGCTAGGAGGTAGGAAGTGGAGAGAAATAAGGTTCCTTTTCTGTCCTCAAGAAGCCTAGAGAAGGGAATTGATTACACTAGTGAATTAACAGTAATTGTGTTCATTGTATTTAGACTTTCTGATTCATTACAAGGTTGCAACATGCACAGAAGATTGCTAAACTGAAAGTCTGGGTTTTCTTCATGAATGGCATAATTGCACAATTAAGGAACTCCTTTGTTTTCTAACTATTTTAAAATTAGGGAGCTATTAAAAATGTATTATACTTATAAACATCACACAAGAGTTAATCAATCTAGATATTCCACTCATTTACTCTACCTGAAGTGCAGAAAGCCGGAGATGGATTTACCTTGAAGCTAATGAAGCCTAATTGATGCTCCTCCCTGTGCAGGCCCCTTACAAGGTCCTGGCATTGTGGTCATGTGATTATATGTTTTTGTCAAACTTGCAAAAGTACAATGTCTGAATTCTTCTTCTTAAAGAGATTCTTCTGGATCTACTGAGGCAACCACATTTACGCCTGTCATCTGTGTTGCCAGGGAGCAATTTATTTAAAGGTCGGTAGGTAATTTTTTTTGATTGTCTTTCTTTGGCAAATTAACACGTATCTCTGAATAGTCAGTCACCAAGTATTGCTAAGTATATTAAGTATAAGTATAAGTATAAGTATAAGTATAAGTATATTAAGTATATATTTACATATATACTTAATGTTTTGCTGTTGGCACGGATTATTCAGTGCATCTAACTCTGTGAAAGTCTTCCGGCTGTTCTAAAATATAGCCAAGAAACTGAGATAAAATCCTCAAGGAATTCTCTCATTTATACCAATAAAATATGCCATAAACATTGAAATACATAGTGTCTGAAAAGGCCTGAAAGTTCTTCCTTCAATGCTTACTATCTTATCAGGGTTGTATGACACATTTTCTGTTGGTAAATTAATAACTGGCACCTGGTATTTTGGGAGGCTACAAAGGTGATATCAACAGTGAACTCTCAATAGTGAAAGATGTAAGTTTCTGGAGGACAGGGACTCACACAGAGAGTTTATTCTTCTTGTATCTCTAGCACCTCACATAGTGCCTGGCATGCAGTAGGTGCTTAACAACACTTTTTAAATGAATGAAAGAAGAATGATAGGAATTGTAGAAGAGCCAGCGTGTTTGAAGTTTTAGGCAGTCAGTGACAATACAAAATAAGAACAAGACCCCAATGTTGATCAGTTGGAGAAAACATTGTGACTCAAAGAAGGCTGATTCTTTGTATAAAGTAGAGATTTCCTATATTAATGACAAAATTATTATATAACGGCTCTCTACTGGGAGCTGTCCACCAGCATTGTGTGAGTACTGGTAGATTAAACAATTAAGATCAGTGTACATAAATTGTGCAGAAAGGCCAGACCACCTAAATACTTCAATATCTAAACATTTTAGGGGTGGCCTGTGATCACTATGATCATCTTATATCTGCAGGTCTGTCATGAGGAAGAAAGGTGACTCCATTTCTACCCAGACGCAGGGTGTTGGTGGTGACTCAGTATTCAGCATTGATCTGGGAATCCAGTATTTCTACATTTCCCCTGTAATTAGGTCCCAGGAAAGGAGAGAATTTGGACAGACTATTTCAAACCTTTAAGCAACTGACGTGTGCTTCTTTCTTTTGTTTTTTCCAGAAACAAATTTAGTTAGCCATTCTATTCCTCTTTCCACCCTCCCTCTTCCTGCTCCTCTCCCTTACCCCTCCACAAAGAAAATAAACGTGTGATACGAACTCAAAATATTATCAACTGCATGAAAGCAATTAGTATTTAATTTCAATTTACCTCCTGCACATATGGTGGATGGTTCAGCTGCTAGAATTTCAATGCAGGACTTCTTCAAAATCTAGGAGGACAGGAAATAAAAAAGTCAATGCACAACTTATTTTGTTCAGAGAGAGAATTAGGATTTTTCTTTTAGCTATTGAGACAGAGATAGGAAGGTTCGAGGACATTAGATTGCACTGGAGAGGTGACAGGAAGGGTAACATCTTTACTACTATCATCAATGCCAAACATTTAATGAGCCAGATTGTGCTATTAATAGATGCTGTTGGGTGTCCTAAAAGCCATAGAATTATTCATTCATTTGCTCTGTTGGCAGATATTTATTGAGCCTAGGATATGCCAGTCCTGGTTTCGTAGAGGTTTAACATAGAGTTATGGAAATAGGATTTAAACTTGAAACGATAAATGACAATGGCTGGTCATACGTGGTAGGTTCAAGGGTAAAGGGGCAGACGGTAGGCTCTCCTGAGTTCACTCGGAGATCACTGGGGGCAGGTACACTGGGAAGGGCCTCATGGAAGAGGTGGGAGCTGAGGGGAGGACTCCAATGAAGGGGAGTATGTTAGGGAAAGGCATGAGCAAAAGTGAGAGAGTAGAAATGCATAGAACTCTTTAACTGGAACAAAGGGAGCTTGAAAAGTGAAATCAAAGAGTGATAATAGAGAAGGCAGGAGATAGAAGGGAGGCAGTCAACTCTCCGCAGGAGCCGCATAGTCAGATTGCTCCTTTTCTGTTAGAAAAGTCTGGAAAGATTGTGGAAGAGGGCTTTGAAGGCCTCGTGTTGTGCCACTCTTCAGGAGGACCACCGGAGCCTTACTAAGTGGCAATATGCTCTTCACCACAGATGAGTCTTTTAGGTTTTGCGCAGTCTGGGGCAACCCACAACTGCACAAGGAGTTAATAATGAAGGCTTCCGGCCAGGGCCTCTGACTGGCAGTGTTTAAGCTTCTCTCTGCCACTTATGAATCCTGCTTCTTGATGAATATTGATTCTAGAATGTGAACCAGGTATTTTTAAACAAGTATAGGACACTGAGTTAATTTACAACCAAATACTGTATCTTTACTTGGGCCTTACTTAATCTGGAATTTGAGATGGTTCAGAGGGCTGAAGGAAACCACTTCTCTATTCATGAAAGGGGCATTTATTAAAGCAACTAATGATGTAATTATGCAACCTAAAGTCTGTAAGAGAACAAAGCATCTTTTAGCGTTGGGAAACACCCATTTATTTGCATTGATATATTTATTTATATGTGCTTCTGTGTTCCAGCTGAAGTAATACATGCATTGTAAGATACAATCAAATTAAAGATACAATAAAATGGAGGGGACAGATTAAAGGCAAGATAAGGGGAAGATGATGCAAGGAGTGAGAACAGCAAAGAAAAAAATGCTGTGAGGAGCTTATTTCCTTGCTAGGAGTGGACTTAGTTCCAAGCTTTCTAGTAGCTAATGGAAACGACACACAGTATTTATGAACTTTTCAATCTGTGGAATAAAAACAAACCAGTTTCTTAGAAGAGATAATATTTACCCATTCCAGAGAGAAATCTGGGCATCCTTATAGAGAAGCATTGTGAAAGGAAATGAAAAAACATGCTTAAGAAGATCTTTATCTGATACACAGATGCCAAAACATTGTAATTTATTTATTGAAAAAGGTTCTCTTACAACTGTGTATTTTAGGTAACTCTATACACCTGAAAGTCATAAAAAGTAGCATTTCTTCTTTTGACAATTTCAAAATTCAGATTTTCCCTTCACTCTATACAATTTCATGGCATTTTTGTACTTCGATTCTTCTGTTTGTTTCCAGCTTCCTCCTGACCCCACAGTTGGAGGTAACTTGTTCCGTCAGCTTTTGCTTTATTTCCTCGGCCTCTGGCTTACCCAGCACCCCCCCACCCCCAACATAGATGCAGCCTCACTTCCTCGCTAGTCCCTGAACCTATCTTGACTGCAGCAGGAAGGGAATGTTCTGGACTCCCACATCCCTGGCCCATCTGTTAGTCAGTGGTCCTCACATACCTTGTTCTGGGCACCTGGTGTCAACACTAAGCTCCTGCTTCCCCTTCGCTGTCAGCCTGACTTGGGATCAGGGACCCCAAGGATATATCCTGGGCACCCGTGTTTCCCTGCTGGCTTCTCCAGCTTCTCTTTCAATGTGGTCAAGCTAGCTCGTCTCTTTGGTCTCTTACGCACGTGGGACTGGGGCTTGCTAGGATCCTGGTGCATAGTAAGTGGCTCATCCTAGACTGCCCACCTGAACTGCGATGATTGTCTGTCATGCCCCACAACCTCCTGTCCCCAATTTGCTGCCATTGTGCTCTTCCTGCCTAATGGGGCACTTCAGTGGTTGCCGTGATTGAAGGAGGAAGTCACCCCCTTCCACTTGTCCCAGGCACAAGTCTCCAAATAGGCCACATTCGAAGAAACAGAACTAACCCAGAGGGACAACCTTATTAAACAGTGGCATTGGAACAACACAAAGCTATTTTTTGATGTTTTAAATACAATTCCTCAGGCATTTAACATCTCCTAATAAATCATTTTATCATCCACAGCTAAAGATTTAAAAACAGTCCAAGAATAAAAAAAAAGAGCTATTGGACCAATCCTGCTCCCATTTCCCAAACACATACATGAAATTTTTACCCATGTAAGTTCCTGAGTTTGAACCAAACTTTTTGAACCAATTCTAATACCTAACCAGGGATCGATAAAGGAAACACCCGTGAATCTCTGACCACAAAGACACACTAACAAAGTTTGTCATAATAAACATACGCTGTATTATTCTCCCAAAGTGTCTGCAATTAACCGATAAATCTAAGGAGTGCATGAAGGGCCAAAAAATGTCAGCCAAGTGTTGTGATTCAATCCAGTAAAAACACAGCTTTCCCAATCTTAACTTAAAACATCTGGAAGAAATGCATTACAGCCAATAGAGTAAAATTTATCAGTGAGGGGACGGGTAGGATTTGTCTGGGACTGTGGTTCCTATTAGTTTGAAATGTCTGGTTTCAAAAGGTAGGAAATCACAATGGCACTGGGTGAATTTTGGGGGTTCTCTTGGTTATTAGCAGCCCAGACCGTACAGTAATCAGTTTGTCTGAACTGCAGCAGACAGCAGATCAGCTTAGGGACTGGAGGCCCCCTTCCTACCCTAGACAGGGGTAGCCACGGAGAAGGTGTAGACACAGCATCGGGGAATCGCTGAAGGGCCCCAGATGCAGTGGAAGGGACTCACACAGGGTTGGGGTGATGTCAGAGCTGAGCGCCTTCGAGGTGAGGGTATAATTGTTCTGTACAGGAAAAAGGGCTAAGACTACTGCATGCCTCAACTATAATCCCATGCGAAGAGCTAGGTCTTGGCCCTGCTCCTGTACTTACCTGACCCTATGTTCCTTGACAAATCTTTTAACTTTTCTGAATTCCAATTTTGGGAAGCATTTTAACATACTGAGCAAGAGCTTGAAATCTGGAATTGAATTGCTTGGGTCAACTCAGTCATGAGCAGTATCCTTGGGCAAGTTCCATACCTCTCTGAGCCTCTGTTTTGTCATCTATAAAAGTGGGATAACAATAGTACCTACCCAACTTAAAGTACAAGCATAAAGTTGTATGGGAAGATTAAATGAGATTATGTAGGCAGAGCCCATAGCACAGTGCCAGGAACCTGATAAGCACTCAAGTAATGGTAGCTATTATCATCAAGAACTTGGGCTCTGAAGACAGATAAAATAGATTTGGACTTGGATTTATGTTCAAATCCAAGCCCCATCCCTTACTGGCCATGTGGACTTGGGCAAGTTATCAAACCTCTGAATTTTGGTTTGCTCTTCTGTAAAATGGGGTAAGAAAAACCCTGATGTCAAAGGGCTGTATGATGGTTAAATGAAAGAACAGACATGAATGCAGAGATTCTTAGCTTGCAAAATCAGTTTGACTAAGGTGATAAAATTCATATTGGATTGGAGAGTGAGGGAGAGAGTGAGATCAAGGAAAACTGACCAGGTTTTTGTCTCATGGACAGAACTATATGTGAACATATGTGATTGATCCATGGTTAGCTGACACTCCTTGGGCCACCAGCCAGCATGTGCACTTCATGAAAATAAGGCACCAAGAAACGACTTCAGCGGTAAAGCACTCAGGAGAATGTCTGACATTCAACAGCAGTGGCTGTTACTGTCACATTTGTCATTGCTACTGCTGCTGCTGCTGCTGCTCTTGGGCATGGGCTGTAGTTCACATGTACTTCCACCCCCCGCACTCCTGCCTCATACTTCATCATATTGCTGAAAGAAACTGAACCAAGGTTAATACTATTTTCCTGCCAACTTTTGGACAGATTTCAAAGAGATAATAGATGAGAAAGCATGTTTGAAATCCATAAAGAACTAAATAAATGCAACATGTTGTTACTGGTAGGGTTACTTTTCTGCACCTCCCTAGATTACTGGGGAAGTAGGAGAAGCAGCAGATGTATAAGAACTCTGCCAAGTGACAAAAGTCATTTAACACATTTAAAGTGAAATCCATTGTGGACTAGTCCCGGTTGTATATGAATCCATTTTTTTTGATTCTAAAAACCGAACATCTTTTGTCATAAAGTTCTCAGTTCATGCAGAGATTTCTCAAGAGTCTTTAAAGAATTGTGAATATTTGCATAGAGTTATGAGGAACCCCTCTCTTACCTTAGGCATACCTAATTTTTTTCTCTAAAAAACAAACCAAAAAACCCCCCAATAAACAACCAATCTTTATTTGGCCATTTCCTATTGGGGGATTTTTTTTTGTGTGTGTTAACAGGACCAGCCTCTTTTATCCACTCATGATATAGAGGTCTTTTGCTTCCACATATCTTTCAGAAAGTCTTTCCTTGGTGTCTTATTTGTTGTGAAGGGCACATCCTGGGGCTTGGAGTAGGCTGGCCCAAGAGTGGTTAACTATGTATTTGGTCAATTATACCTGTCCAGTTCTGTAAGACAAAAACCTAGCAGTGTTCCTTAACCTCACTCTCTCTGTCACTCTCTAAAACCAATATGACTTC